GGGGTTTGACTTGGCAGGGCCACGGTGGGGGCCTGGGCAAGGCATCCAGCTACCCGGTCGCGCAGCAATCTGCCGAAAGGGTGTTCCCTGATGATGTTCTGCGCGCGCGTCACTGTCTCCATGACCCATCCCAGCGGGGCGCCACAGAGTCTGGCGAGGGCGCCCACGGTAGCTCTCATTGCCGGCTCGTCTCCCACTCTTGCGCCTCATCGGGTATGCCCCTCTGCCTGCGGCTCTTCCGCTGTCCAATGCAATTTCGGTCATGTGGCCCCATGCTGCGAGTAATTCTGCAATCAGCCATGACGGGGAGTAGCTGGTGGTCTCTGGTGGGAGATTGGGGGGGCGATGTGGCTGGCGATGGGGGCGCATCGAGCCCCTGCTCTGGCCAGGTGGAAGGTGAGCTGTGTACCTAGTAGGTCCAGTGGATGTCCAGGGGCTTCAAGGTTGCATGGGTGGAGTCCCTCCATGGTAGTCGCCCAAGGGGTGGCTAGCCTGCGGCATACAATACAACTGGGGCCGTCCTGATCCCGCGTAAGCCAGCTGCCGCAGTATTCGCACCTGGTGCTTGGGCGGAAGAAGTCCCCGAACCTTATCATGTAGGATGTGCTGTTAATGGGCCAGGGTCCTTCTGGATTGTTGCGGTCCTCGAGGATGGGTCCGCTTATGCCAGGAGTGTGCGGCCCTGCGCCAGGGATGTCGGGGGTGGCCCAGCCGCCCTGCCCCGTGCCGTGCTGCGCCGAGGATAGGGCGTCCGCGCCAGCGTCGGCCCAGTGCCCCCTATCTGGGGCGGCGTCGTGTCGCCATCTGGATAGTCCAAGGAGGGGCGGCGGGAAGAGGCCCTCCGATGGGCCCCCCACTCGGATGTCTGCGTAGAGGGCAGCATGGCGCAGTATGTCGTACTCACTCTCGGCCGCTATGATTTCCTCCTGAGCTGGTTCGTCGTAGTCGACGCTCTCTGCTTCAATATCAAGGTCCTGTGACATGCTTGCGTAGCGGAATGCTAGCACCTGTGCCGGGTCCGGTCCTACCCCGCCGAGCCTGGCCCCATGGTCGGATCCTGTGATCGACCAAACCAGCCAGGAGAGGTCCAGCTCGGCCATTGCCGAGGAGCGGTTGTGGTGGCTTCTTGGGGGTTTCTGCTCCGCTTGCACCCTGTGACTGGGGCTTACCCTGAGTGGGCATTTGACACTTCCTGCTGTGGAGAGGCCTCCACTGACGGCCGCGTGCCATGGGGGATGACGGAGCCAGCAGAAGCTTACTAGGTTCTCAAGGCCCACGCACATCGTGCGGGTGCGGGGCGGGCACCTGGGGATATTTCTCCACGGTCCCCCCCTAGGTTCATGGTGTTCCAGGAGAGCCGTCAGTGTGCCGCCTCTCATGGTGCACCTAGAGTCGACGACTCTCGGGGCCAAGAAAGGGGCATCGGCGTCGCGGGATCCACCGCGCCTAGACGGCGGGGGGGGGGCCCGCAGTGGGGCGCGCCCCCTCCGCGCCCAGGCCTAGCCACACGCCCTCCCAAGTTGAGCAACCTTGAGCCGGGCGGAGGAGCAGGAGAGAGACCGGGGGGAGGGGCGATCGGGCTACTTCGAGCGTGAGCGGCTGATCTGATGTTGATCTAGCCGGCGTCCTCCCACTCGTGTGGCGCTTCGCTGTCAGGGGTGCTGCCTCCGAGTTCGCGTTCTCTCGGAGGCCACTCCCATGTGGCCTCATCCCCATGCTGCTGCTCGCTGTCCACGTCGAATCCAATCGGATTGAACGGCAACGCGGGGGAAATCCCAACATCTTCGGCCAGGCCTGCCCTGGGCAGTGGAGTCGGGAAAGCAGTGGACGGAACATGGGGAGGGGGGGGGGGGGGGCACCAGGTGGGGGCTCGATTCCGTCGACGCTGGACAGATCCAGCGGATTGCTGGGTGGTGCATCTTGTATGTCGCCGTGGGCGGCACGCGCCTCCTCCGCGTGGGCTGGAGGGGCCCGTGTCTGTGGGGTCACCCCGTCGGTGCCCATCGCTGTCCGTATTTCTCCTTGGCAGTCCGGTGCTGCCAACGTCGCTCCTCTGGGCCTTTCTGGGGGGTCTTCTGGCCATCTATCGATGCCCGCATCGCACCTCGGCATTGCACTCGGTATGGGGGCGCAGCCAAGAGCCGCAACAACCGGGGCACCTTCAACAGGATGGGGGGCGAGCCCAGGCACAATTGGACGTACATCCTGTGTTGAAGGAGGAGGAGAAGAGGAGGAGGCGCAGCCGAGAGCCGCACAATCTGGTGAATTGAAGGAGGAGGAGGAGGAGGAAGGGTCGGCCCTGTGTGCCGGTGCTGAGCGGTCTGAGTCACCTCTGATTGATCTCTCCGCCGCTCCCTGCGGTGGATCTTCAGTCACCGCTGGGGGGGGATCTGTTCGCCTGTCCGCTTGGCGGGGGGACTGCGTTGCCTCCTTCTATGGATTTGGCTCGACTTTCGCCAGACAAGCCCCCCACTGCCGTCTCGCGGTTCCGTACCAGGACCTCATTCCCAGCCTCGGAGGGCAGGGTGGGGCCTGTTGTTCGGGCCACGCGAGGACTGTCCGCCTCCCGACGTGGGGAGGGGGGAGGCGTGGGGGGGATTGGGATCTGAGCTGGGTCCAGGGCAACACCAGGGAGCGCCCCTCCTCCCATTGGTTGGATGTCTCCCTCTGCTGGGCAGGGGGGAGATGCAACCAGAGCTGGCGTCGGTACTGGATCAGCCGCGCCTGTGGAGGAGGGCTGCTCCCTGTGGGTGTTCTGTGGATCGATCGATCGCAGCGGTTGGACTCCCATGCCATGCGCTGCGCAATCTCTATCCTCGTCCCCTCCGTCTGGCAGATCCTCCATCGCCTGGGCCGCGGGCGTCGCCAGCGCCGCCGCAAGCGGGGCGCGCAGTGGAAATCGCCGGCGAGAAGTAGCGGAGCGGTGCGGCCCAGGGGCGGGGGAAGCGACGCGGCGTCTGGGCGCCCCCTCGAGCGCGGGAGACTGGCCCGAAGGGGGCCAGGCCCGCAGACGGCCTTGAGCCAGGCTACGGACTGGCGGGGATATGTTGCTTGATCTGCGGCTCAAAGCACGGCTCCAGAGAGCGGGTCAATCTCGACAGGGGCGCAAGGCGAGACGATTGGCAGAGGAGGCACACAGGCCAGCGCCGCAATGCACGCGCGAGGAACAAAATGAACCTCATCAGATCTGACCCGGGAACGGACGACGGCAGCAGACTGGAAAAGCCGGCGGAGGGTTGCACTGTGGCGCCAGCCCCCACAGACCAAGCCTGCGAGATGGCGGGAACACTGCGCGGGCAGCACAGAGCGCCGAGGGAAGGCACCGCCAAACGCGGCGAGGAGGAGCAGGGGGAGGGACGGGCGCAGGAGGCACTGGTGGGGATACTTTTTTTGATTTGCGGCCCGCGAGGAAAAGTCCAGAGGGCGGAATGAGGCAATGGGACGCAATGCCAGATGATTACCATGCAAAGACCACTGGGCGAATGCCAGCGGTAGAGAAGCTGCCACGGATGGACAACAAACGAACACAAGCCAGACCCGCAGGTGGGGAAACCTGACCAGTGGCCGGGAGAAAGATAGCAGAGCGACAGAGTGCGCAGGCGGAAGCTACGCGGCCCGCCGCCAGAGGCGGAAAGCGAGCACGGACCGCTGGGCAGATGCCAGCGGACCAGGGGCACCCGGAGGCACTGCACATGCAAGTGGAGCAGTCACGGACGCTGATTTGGTACCCTAGCAGCCACAAGGGGCGCAGCACAGGGGAAATGGGAAAAGAGGCGGAACGGAGCACAGGAGGCCTAGAACGCGGCGGACTCATTCACCTGGCACCCTGTGCGCATTCGTCATCATGAGGATGATCACTCCCAACATCGACGAAGGGGGGGAGCCACTTGCTGGACTTCAACTGGTGAAGCACGAAGAGGGGCCTTCAGCCAGTAGCCTCTGCACCACGGCCCGCTCTCTACGCGGGCAAAGAACCTGGGTGGGGTTATTTCAGCCGACCGCAGGGGCAGGAACCCACGGGACGCCGCGGGTATCTATGCGCAGTGTAGTGCCCCTCGAACCCAGGACCGTGTTGCTCCATGTCCGCTACGCTCTGTAAACCAATGAGTTCGCCCAAATTGGTCGGCAGAAGCCTTAGAAGCAAATGTGAACAGCAATTGAAAAAAAAAAAAAATGATTAAAAATTGCTTTCTGGATTGTCGTACCCTTCTTGCTTTTTTTTGGATTCAACTTCGCTGGTTGCTGGTATTTGCGGCCGCACCTGAACGCCATTCTGTGGTATTCTATCTACATGCCGTTCATTGTTCTGCCCCGTTCCCCCCTCCCGTAGTGCTTCGGTTCCCCATTGACCCACCTCTTCCGTGTCTTCAGGGAGGGCGGGGGGAGGGAGGGAGGGGAGGCAGGGAGAGGCAGGGAGGGGGGGGGGGAAGGCAGGGAGAGGCAGGGAGGGGGAGGCTGGGAGAGGGAGGGAAAGGCGGTGGAGGGAGAAAGAGGGAGCGCTCCTCCCGACGACGACGACGACGACGACTGACCGACGACCGACGACCGACGACGACGACGACGACTACGACGACGACGATTTTCAACCACCGTCAAGCTACTACACGCAGCTTCAGCGGTCGTCCCGACGAGATCGTCGGGTCAGCCCGCTCTCGTTGTTCACGGGAGCGGGAACAAACACGCATTATAATATAATCATACTCTTCGTCGTTCTTGCTTGTCCCTCTCCTCGTGCCTCCTTCCCGCCCTCCATCCCTCCGTCTACCTGTCCCTCCTCCTCCCCCTCCCTCTTGCCCCTCCGCCCGTCTCCCCCTCCCCCCCCCTCTTTCTTCTCCTGCTCCTCCTCGTTTGCCTCGTGCTCCTCCTACTACCCCTCATTCAATCGTCGTCCTCCTACTCCTCCGTCTACTCTTCATCTTGCTCCTCCTCCTCCTCCTTCTCCTCCCACTCCTCCTCCTTCTATCCGTGCGGCTCGGGGCACGGGCTTAGTAGAAGACCAATCAGCGGTACTTGAGCGCCATCTTCTGCCTCTCCACGAGGGCCGCATTGAACCCGGTCGGCTTGAGGCTCCATTTCATCATGTCGTTGCTGATCTGTTTCGCCGCCGATTGCATTCTGACCTTATCTTTCATCGCATCTTTGTCGGCGAAGGTCGAGCACATGCGAATCGTGCAAGTGAGGATCCGAACACCAGCAACATCATTCAGCACAGTTTTGTCGTAGTTGGTGTCGTGCTTGAGGCAGTACTTGTCGGTCATGTCCGACATCTGCTTGAGAACTCCCGTCACCGCAGAAGCCCTCTTCTGAAAGCTTTTCACGTCGAGGCCCGTCACCGTCTTGTCAAAGAGCTCAGCAATCTCAGCGATGTCCGTAGCCTTGGGGAGCTGAGCGCAGAACATCTGGATGGACTCATGGTTCTCGATGTCCGTGTTCAGCGCCTGGAGGTCCGAGTCCAGCGAGTGTTGCATGGCGGACTTGCGGACCCCGCCCTTCTCCATGATCACTTCTTTGGCGTCGTTGATACTACCGTTGCTCATCTCCATTAAGCGGGTCTGATCGTTGTGGTAGTGCTTGCAGGCCTTGGCTGCCACCATTGCCTCCTGGTAGGCGTACGCGAGGTCGCCCAATATATCTGCAGATTAAGACCTCCCCTGCGCCGCGCCAGCGTTTTCGGATTGCTCGTCCATCGCGGCCAGGACCGTGGACACAGCAGACTTGACGCCGAGGACTTTTCTCAAGAGAGTGGTAGTCTTCATGATCTGATCTTTCGAATCCTCTGGGCAAGCGTCTCCTAAGACGTTCAATATGCCGAAGATGTCGTCGGGCGCGTGGGTCAGGAAGGTGTCCGCATCAGCGAGGCTATCGCCAGCAGGGTTGTCGATGAGAAGCTCGTGAAAGTAGACCGCCTTCTGATGGCAGAAGGCATGGATATCATCTGGCATGTCTTTGCCATTGCAAGCCGCTGCCGCCCCCGCGAGCTGATGATGCGAGTCTGATGCCCTGTAGTCCAGCGTCTCGAGGTTGCGACTGAACTCCTCGACCTTTGCAGTGATGTCGATCGGCTTGGTTGCCTGATCCAAAGCCGCAGCTTCACGTACGACTGAGTCCTTCGACGGGAACAGGATGTGCAGCTGCTTGTAGAGGGCCTGGAACTGAGAGACAACATTCAAGACATTTGCAATTGGCTGACTCGTAGTATCGCCCATCGTCCTCAGCAATGTCTCAGTAGCTTTCGAAGCGAGCGACAGGATAAGCTCTCTGACGTCAAAGGTGAACTCTTCCCAAAAGGATGCGGCTGCCTCCCAGTGCAGCGTCTGGTCACAAATGCCAGTCAACCACCTCGCGAACTCTGCTGTCGGCTCCGCCTCTGTAGCCTTCAAGCTGGTGTAAACCTGCCGCATGTACTTGCCGCACTGCCTGATCTTCGGGATCCGCTTCAGCCAGGTGTTCTTCGGATGTTTCCACCAATCGTTCGTGCCGACCGCCTGGCCAACCATCTGAAACGGCCCTGGGTCAGACTCGTTCCTCGCTGCAGCTCTGCCGATCGCCCCGATGGCCCCCCAAACATCGGGCCCGAAGTCAAACATGATCCAATAATCGCCAGCGAGGACCTGGATGGCTTCCACTACGCAGCATGCCTGAGTGTACGTGTATGCACAGGCTGTGCCCAAGTCTGCGGTCTCTGCTATGTCATCCCACTTCTCGCGGGCGGCTTTCGCGAACTCCAAGATGCACTCCTTCTTCTCCTCTCCAGCCTGGAACCACTTCGCCACTTGATCTTTGAATGCCATGTCGCAGAAAGCACAGGCCAAAGCACGATCTGTTAAAGGGAGCCTCGCCAAATCGACCTTCGTGACATCCATCTCCTTCGCGGCATCGCTAGTCCACAAGCTGATGTAAGAAAAGAGCTCAGAGCATTGACCATGGACATCGCCAGGCGATCCCGCGTCGATCTTAGACCAAGCCGCAGCAGCGCTGCGCTGTGCAAGGGGGATCCACGCTTTGAGCGTCAACTGAGCTCCTGCTTTCTGCAACTCCTTCCAATGAGACTGGAGCGTCTCATCATCCAGTCCGCGGCAATTGTTTACACCCATTTCCACTGCCAGTTTGCATCGATCCAGTCTGGTCTTCAGGTTGTTCCTGTCCGCAAGGCTGACCTTAGGCATGTGCAACTCAGCCTGCGAAAATGGAGTGCCCATCTTGTGGCCGTCGAAAGCGAGCTGGAAGTTGCACTCGTGGATCCAGTACTCGGCCTGCTTCGCCTGGAACGGGTTCTTCTCCACGATAGGCTCCCTCGGGGCCTCGATGACTCCAGGCCGCGTCACCTCAGAACTTCCCATCGGCATGCCTTTGTCTTCGACCTTCGCCTTCTTGGAGGACGTCGGCGTGCGAGGGCCAGTGTGCTCGGGGTCGTTGTCAGGGTCGAACTCGGCCATCGCATCATCCTCCTGGCTGGCGCCTGGCGCCACTGGTGCGCCATCAACGCCCTCCGCGTCCACCTCGATGATCTCTTGAGCGGCGTCGCCGCCACTGGCAGGCGCATCTGAAGCCTTGCGCTTGGCGCTAGACCTCTGCTCAGCCCTCTGCACAAGCTTCGCGGCCCGCTCCAAAAGCACCGCATGAGAGGTAACTGCGAAGTCCTTCAGGAGCACGCGGGCGGGCTCAGTCCTGTCATCCTTCGAGCACGTGCCCTCGCCAGCCATCTTCATCAAGATGTCGTTTTGTTTGTCACCAACCAGCGTCGTGGACCTTATCGATGAAATCTCAGTCGACTTGAGCAGGGATGTTTTTACTGTCGGGTACTTCTTCTTGAACTCATCGGTGCGCTCGCAGAGGTAGACTACGTCGCTCTTGGTCGGCACCTTGAACGGGTTTACCTGTAGCTGCTTCGGTGTCTTGCCATACTCGCCGCAGAATTGGTGCCACGTCAAACCACACTGCTTGATGTACATCTCAGCCGCAATACCCTCACCATCAGACGCCTCTAACGCGGGCAGCGACTGCAGCTCCTCATCAGTCCGCTTCTTGTCAACCTCAGCGTCCACGAACGAAGCAAGGTTCTCGTCCTCCCTCCGCTCGCTGACGATGGTGTCGCAGTCGATGCCAGGGCAATGCACGAGCACCCAGTCGACGCACCTCATGCACACGTGCTCGGCGCCGATGACACGCTTGATCCTCTCGTCCTCTGGAGCGTTCTCTCGGTTGATGATCATCGTCACCGAGTCCTGTGGGGTCGGGTGCTGCTTTTCCCTCCTCCCTTCTCCGTCCTCCCCCTCATGTGTCCTTCCTGCTCCTCCTCCTCCTCCATGCCCATCGCTTTCCTCTTCCCTCTCGTCCTCCTCCCCCTCCTTCCACCGTCACTCGCTCCCCCCATCCTCTTCCGTCGTCCAACATGTTCGTCGTCATCGTCGCCATCATCGCCGTCGTCATCATGATCATCAGCATTAGCATCACCATCATCTTCATCATGATCATAACCACTATCATCAGCATCATTGTCACCATCACAATAATCATCATCATCATCATCATCATCGTCAGCATCATTAGCACAATCATCACACTCATTACCAGCATCATCGTCGTCATCTTCGTCATCGTCATCATCGTCATCATCATCGTCGTCGCCATGGTCGTCATCTTCGTCATCATCGTCATCATCGTCGTCGTCATCGTCATCGTCGTCATCGTCGTCATCATCATCATCATCATCATCACAATCATCGTCATCATCGTCGTCACCACCGTCATCATCATCGTCGTCGTCGTCATCATCATCCTCCTCCTCCTCCCTCGTCCTCCCCGTCCTCCTCCACCCCCCCCCTCTCCTTCCCTCCCCCTCTTCCTTGCGCGGAAGAAGGGGCAGGCAAGGGAAAGGGTTGAGGGAAGAGGGGAAGGGGGGATAAACAATTCGATATTCGATATTATGCTCCCTCGGCGTCCTTCTTGGACGTCTCGCACACGCCGCAAACCAGCGCGGCCCCGCGCGCGCGGGCAGCCCCTGCACCGCGACCTCCGCGTGGACCGCGTGGACCCCCTGCGCGCCCGCGGGCCGCGCCACGTCCACGGGGGCCGCCACGGCCGCCTGCGCGTGGGCTGGGGCTCGGGCTGGGCCGCGGGCTCGCGCTCAGCTCCGCCATCGCGGCGGCGCACGTGTATCAGTTCACTGAACGGGCGTAAAACGCAAATCGAAACCAGTTCACTGAAGCCCAAAATGCATTTGTCGAACAGCATAAGAATATCAAACACATTCCTTCGGGCTTTCGCAGCGGGCTTCTGCAGCGAGGCCTTCGGAGGCTCGCGCATTGTATTTCCGCGCAGAACAGCTCGCGCACGGCGCCGTTGGCCCCCGCGCATTGCATTTCCACGCCGGATGGCCCCAAGACAGCCTGCGGCCCCAAGACAGCCTACGGCCCCAAGACAGCCTACGGCCACAAGACAGCCTACGGCCCCAAGACGGCCCACGGCCCCAAGACGGCCAACGGCCCCAAGACAGCCTACGGCCTACGGCCCCAAGACGGCCTACGGCCCCAAGACAGCCTACGGCCCCAAGACAGCCTACGGTCCCAAGACAGCCTACGGCCCCAAGACGGCCTACGGCCCCAAGACGGCCTACGGCCCCAAGACGGCCTACGCCCCCCCCCCAAGGCAGCCTACGGCCCCAAGACGCCTAGGGCCCCAAGACAGTCTACGGCCACAAGACAACTAACACGAATTACCGCCAGCTCCTCTTCTGGGAGGGCTGCAGGCGTTGAAGCGTAAGGGTTTGAGGGTCCTAGGTCATTCGGGTCTTTGGATTCTAGGGGCTCATAGGTTTACTGCAGTTAAACTCTGAGGGCGTTGAGGGCCCAGGGTCCTTGAGGACATTTATGGTCTTAGTGCGCTTAATGAATGTAGGGTCCCCGTGCACTAAGACAGTTGAATGCGTTTGCTACATGTAAAATCTTTATGGCATTTAAGGTATCAGAGCATTAAGCTCTAACGCACATAGCTTACAGGGCCCCAGGGTCCTAGGGCATTACGGCATTCGTGTTCTAGGGGTTCATGCGCAATCGGGTCCTATCATGATCTTTCAACCTTGAGAATTAGTTTATTGTGAGCTTCACAGTGTCTAGGGGATGAGGTCCTCAGGTATCATGGCCCTGGGTGCTTTAGGTTCTAGGGAATAGGATCCGCTGTGCCTCGGGGTGAGGGGGGGGGGGGGGGGCTTGTGGCTCTACGGCTCTGAGTGGGGCAAGTTATTCGGGCTCTAAGCGCCCCAGTGGTCTTGAGCTTCAAGGACTTCTGTGTCAGAAAGAAGTCGGGCCCTGGGGCATTCTGGTCTTAGGGCTCCATGGTCGCGCGGCCACATGGAAATATTGCATGCGGGAGTACGGCTCTTGGGGTACTAGGGCCATTCGGCACTATATAATGAAGGGCCGAAGTCTACAGTCATTATGCTTCTGCGACCTCAGGGCAGTGGGCCATAGGGCAGTCTGATGTTACTACATCAGGGTATTCGCGTCATCGGGTAGTTTGGTCTCAGGGCGTTCGGCTATCAGGGCCCTGGGCCACTAGTGGCCTCATGAGTGTATGATGGCACTGCGGCCCCAGGGTGCTATGGTCTCAGGGTATTGGGCCCAAGTGCGTTAAGGGTTGACGCATTGAGGCCTTAGGGTATTCGGGCCTCGGGGGTCTGGGCCTCAGGCCCGCGGTGCCCTGGGGCCCCCCAAAGTCTTAGGAGCTGTAAGGTTTATGGTCATGGGGCAAGGGGATGCATGGAATGTCGTAAGGAGTTTGCCCTGGTGGCGCCCGACGACCCGAGCTTGCGGCCCAGAATGGAGGTCGCGGGGCGCGCGTGCCCTGGCGCCCCAGGAATGGAGGCGTCGGGGCATTGGAGACTTCAAGCCCCTGACGGCCTCGGCGTCCTGCCGCAGGGGTCTTGGTGCATGAGGATTTTCCATATAATTGTACTTTGTCTGTGTGGCCGCATGCGCCCAGCGCGCCAGGGGTGCGCGGCGTTCGGGCCTCAGCGCCTTATATCTTAGGATATTGGGGCCCCATGGTCCTGAACCCATGGGATCTGCGGGCCCCATGGCCCCAATGGGTTTAAAGGTTTCGGGCGTCAGAGCAAGCAGGCGGGCATCATGGCACCATGGCATTGGGGTCTTCAGGCCCGAGGAGATTCGGGCCTCGCGCCTCGGCGTTCAAGGGCGCGGGGGCGTTCGGGCCGCGAGGCTTCAGTGCGTTCGATTATTCTGCCACATTGCGGCCTGGGGTTCGTTAAGCATTATTGCACCGAGGCCATCGGGCCCCAGGGCCATGGCGCGCTGGGGCCATCGGGCCCATTAGACAGTCAGGGCCCGAGGACCGCCGCTGGGTCCCAAGATATGCGGGCTTTGGGGCGTCGGGACCCCATCGCACTCAGGCTATAGCGGTCTGTGCGCCTAATGCCACCATTGATTTCGGGCCTTAGAGTGTCTGGGCAGCAGGGCGGTCGGGTCTCGACCAACGTGGCCTCCCCGACGGTTTCGACCCACGCGGTTACCCCGATGGTTTGGACCATCTCTGTCCCTGATGATTCTGAACGGCGCGGAACCCGCGATGAATTTGACGGCGCGGTTCTCCCGATGGTTTGACCCGCGTTGCTCTCCCGTTGGTTCTAACAAACACGGTTTCCCCGATGGTCTTGGCCGACGCGCGCCCCCCCGTTGGTTTTGACCAGCGCGGTTCTCCCGATGGTTTCGGCCAACGCGTTATCCCCGATGGCGTTGGCCGACGCGGTTCTCTCGACGATCCCGACCATCGTGGCCCTCTCGCTGGCGCGGGCCAACGCGGATCTCCCAGTGCCCCCCGAACGACGAGGACCTTGGGGTTTTGTTGCTTTTGTGTATCAGGGCCGATGGGTCTAATAGCCCAGAGGTCACCAGGCTTCAGCTCGTGACAATTCGGGCGATGTCGGGCCGTAGGGATGCGCGGCCTGAGGGCGCCAGGGTCTTCGGGCCGCAGGGCAAAGAGCCGCGGGGCCATAGGGCCTTAAAGTCATCGGGTATTCGCGCACTCGGTCTTCGTGTCAAATGGCAGACGGGCCCCACGGTTATCGGTTTAAGATGCATGAGGGCCATGGGGCCTGAGGGTCTCGGGGTATCGCGGCTCAGGGGCAGCCGCGACTGCGCGCGCCAGGGCCTCAGTGCGTCGGGGCGTCGGGGCTGAGACGCCGTAGGGCAGTGGGAATCGTCGGGCTTGAGCGGCGCCATAATCTTACGGCACTCGGTTCCTGGAGTCGCAGGGTCTCGGAGCGTCGGAGCGTTGGATTCTCGATGTCCTAGGGTCCGGTGGAGGGCCCCAGAGGCTGGAAGTCACGGTTCCCAAGCATTTGGGCCGTCGGGACTTCGGGCACGGTTGTCCGCGGGCATAAAGGCTTCATAGTTCTACGGTCTGTGTGAATTGAGATATCGGGGCTCGAAGCCCTCTCATGGCCGATGGCTTCAAGGTCTCATAGGTCAGAGCGCATTTGGGCCCGTGGGTCTTCGGACCGCAAGGTATCGTGGCTTCGCTGCCCCAGGGCATCACCGCGCGAGGGCATTCGGCCATCGCCGCCCTTGAGCTCGAATGCGCTATGGAAGGAAGGCCCGAGGTCAATGCGCACGATACAATTACTGCCATATGGTCCTCAGGGTATAGCAGTTCCCAGGACAAAATAGCGCCAGGGTTCGGGACTCGATTGTCTAGGCATCAAGGCGTTCGGGCATCGGGGCCCTACGGTATGATCTCAGTGCGACGCGGCGGTGTCAGGGTACCAGGTACCATGGTCCCAGGGTCTTGGGCCCGATTGCTTCAAGGCACAACGGCCAGTCGGTCTTCGGGCCGCAGGGGCCGAGGGCAGGAGCGCCTGAGTGCCCTCGGCTGCCAGACATCCGTGCAACAAGGGTTTAGTGCCTCGGTGCCCAAGGAGCACGGACGCGGGGCCTGAGACTCCCCGGGTCCTGGGCGATATGATGGGCTTGTGGCCCAGAGGGCCGCGGGGTTCTTCGAGCGCGCGGGCCCTGGCTGGGGTCTAGAGGTCTCGGTGCATTTGAAGTTTCAGACCTGGGATCTCGAGGGCCCCAGAGCATGAAAGCTTGTAGGTTTCAGGTCCCTGGGGCCCCAAGGCCCCGCGGTTTGCCGCGCGGCGGGCGGGGCGTCGGGCCTCGTTGGCCCGCGGTCTCAGCGCCGTGCCACCCGAGGATCTCCGCGCACGAGGGTC